GCTGGCGGGCAACGCGGCCCGCGACAACAAGAAGACGCGCATCATCCCCCGCCACCTGCAGCTCGCCATCCGCAACGACGAGGAGCTCAACAAGCTGCTGGGCAAGGTGACGATCGCGCAGGGCGGCGTGCTGCCCAACATCCAGGCCGTGCTGCTGCCCAAGAAGACCGACAGCCATAAGGCGAAAGCCAAGTAGATCTCATCTGACTAACAACCCAAAGGCTCTTTTCAGAGCCACCCACATCTTCCTAGAAAGAGCAGGAACGCTTGATCCCGGGAATACACGCTGTATTGATATATCTGAAAACTTGAAATCTTAAGGGGTGGGGTCTATAATGTTATGTGTCTCTGGGCTCTGCTTTGATGTTCTGTAACTTCCTCCCTTTTTTCCTAGAAGTTACTTATGTAAGCGTGCATCAGTTAACCTTTTTGAAAAAAATCAATAAAAGGCAGCGGTTGCCACGGATGAAATCGGTCACCGCTGTATGGTTTGAGAAGAGATGTGGGCTCTGCAAGGCTGCGCTCGCTGCCTCCCAGCCGGTGGGTTCCGTGGGGGGCAGCGCCGCTCCCCGGGGCAGGAAGGGCGGGGCGGGCCGGGGCGGCCAATGCGGCCCCAGCGCGGGGCTTTCAAACCGCGGGGAGCGGGGCCCTGCCCTCGGCTCCAGAGCCTCCTGCATAGGGGTTCCTGCTGCTTGCTGCTTTCTGTGCTTCTCTTTTCTCTTACTTGCAGCTTAAAACTTTCAGGCTTTAATAAAACCGTAAGTGCTTTCCTGGGGCGCAGTCTAGGAGGGCTTCCAAAAGGTGGCATCAGGTATTTTGAATTAAGAGTTCATTATTGTGATGGGTGATGGTGACAGCTGCAGAACTGGCTCGAGTGTCAGTTCGTGTAGGAAAGTCACAAATGCCCGGGAAGGGAGTCAGGATGTACTAGTCTGGCCCTGAACTGGTGTTTTAATTCTTTCTCCTTCATCCTGGCAGCATGAGTGGTGTTTAGGAGTGCTCTTGGCGTTTTTCTGCAAAAGTTTCCTTTACTTATAAATTATGTTCTCCTGGATCCTGCTGCCTTTGCTTCTCTGAGCTCTTAAGTACCACTTTTTTTGCTTTGGTAGCCTTAGTTGTCATTTTAGGGCCCTTGGTTGCTACAGCTGCCTGGGCCTGCTTGGCTGCGGGAGCCCCTGGCACCCCGAGAAGGGGGCACGGCCATGGCGATGTGGAAGCTGTGTTCTTTGGAGCTGCCAGCCTCTGCATCGCCCTTCTCGGGGTGCCAGGGGCTGGAAAATCCCGGTGACAGGCGAGGGATCGGGATTGGCAGGGAGGAGCTTCCGCGCCATTGGTGCCTGCGGGGCCGCGCTGCTGGGGACGGCGGCAGCTCCTCTCTCCCTCCTCTGAACAGGGTAATTTTGGGGGTTTTGCCTTTGTTTGTTTGGTTTTTTTTTTTTATTTTTAATTTTGTTCCCGCTGTAAATAACATGGCCTTCCCTCCTCTGTTAGAGTAGGTGTAGATAAACGACGCTGTAGCTTGGTTTTCTTTCAGTAATGTTTTATGTGGAAAACTGCCCTAAGGGAAGGCAGGAATGCAGCGCCGGGAGCCTCCGAATGAGGCTGCCCAGGGGCTGGGGAGGGGGCTTTCTTTGTTCCTGAAATCCTCCCTTGAGAACTAAGGCGAGGAAAACTCTGCTTTTCCTTTTCCCTTTTTTTT